GGACATACCTCTCGAAATAAATTATATAGATCCACTGTTTTCTTCATTAAGACAAAGCAAGGTCAAGCAAGAAAACCAATAATAAGGGGAGAAACAAATGAGTAGAGAGTATACTACGGCCTTCTAATGTTATAATAGTTAGTCAGCAGCATATTTCCACCAGATAACAATCAAAACCCATCCTTGTCCACCATCAGTTGTGTCATACTCAATTTTCAGTGATCTCTCTATAATCAATCTGATCAATCAGCCATCAAAAACCATTTTCCAGATCACCACATGGAGACCTTGGGCTTTCTAATGGCATAACAGTTGGTCAACAGATTTCCACCAGATATCAAGCAAAACCATCCTTGTCTACCATCCTTCACTCTATTTTCAGTTATCTCTCTGTAACAAATCTTATCAGTCAGCCATCAAACTTCCTCTTCCCCAAATTAACCATCTAATGGTCCATCCTCATCCAGACATTCTCCTCCTTTAGTTAGCCCAAAAAACCACATGATCATCCATAAAATAATGAGTGAGAGAAATGTGACATTGTCAAACGCCAATTTGGAACCTTGTTGACAACGCTTTCTCAACACTCATGTACATCATCTTACTTATGTTAACCACCATCGCTATGAGATATTTAAAAACTTGCAGTTCATAAAGCAACTGAAAAATAGACTTGACAAACATGTGATATAATCTAACATAATACGCATTATGTTCTTTATAAGAAAATTTAAACTCCAACTTTTTTCCCAAAATAACACGTCTTGGTAATATATAGAAAATTGCAATCCAGTCACTCTTTGACAGAAAACTGAAAATTAAGAAGTTTCGCAACTCTTTAAAACAGACAGACATGTTACGAAATCTCTCTAACAAAAAACTTAAAAAGTAGGAAAGAAGAAAGCCAAAGTTTGACTTATTTTGCAAAAATTAATATTTCAAAACTTCCTGCACATAAACCTAATGAGAAATAGATTGAAAAACTTGTAATAAAATCTTAAATTATATGCAAGACGTTCTTTGAAAGCAAATTTTAACTCACAATGTTTAAAAATAGTAGGTCTTGTACAAAATGGACTAAGAAATTCTCAAAATTCTTTAAAACAGAGATATTTAACGGAGAACTTTTAAAACAGAGATAAGTAAACAAAACTAGGAAACAAAAGTTTAAGCTTTTTTGGCAAAAAAGAGATATTTGCAATCATATTGCTCATACAGCTACTGAGGAATAGTTTGAAAAAACTTGTGATAGACTCTAAAATAATTTGGATGGCGTTCTTTAGAAGCAATTATAAACTTCAATGTTGTTAGAAGATACTAGGCCCAGTACATAACAGAGTTTGGAGGAAAATTGCCAAAATTTGCAAGATGTGGAAACTACTGTAATGAAAACGTTGAATCCAGTCAACTCAAAGGAAGGAAACTTAAAATCAAGAAGTTGCTATTTGGAAAGAAAACAGAAGTCTCACAATTTTCAAAACAGAGTGTGACTTAGATGATGTGTTTAACAAAGAACTTTTAAAACAGAGAGATAAGAATGCAAAAGGAGAAAATAAAAGTTAAATTTTTTTTTGCTAAAAAGAGATGCTTGTAAACCTGCTCATGAAGCGGTTGCGAAAAGATTAGAAATCTTCTGAAACAATCTATTTTTAGACTGTATGACTTTCTTGAAAAGCAAATTTAAACTCCCAATGTTGTTTGAAAATAGTAGCCTTGCACAAAAGAGAGTAGGGTAGAAAATGCCAAGATTTGCAACATTTGGAATGACTTCTAAAAAATATTTTATATCGGGTCACTTGAAGACAGGAAACTTATAATCAAGAAGTTAATGTTTTGAAAAAACAAATAAAAGTCTCACCATTCTTTAAAATAGCGAGAGTAATAAGGAAAACTGTTTAACAAAGAACTTTTAAAAATACAAAAGGACAAAACAATAGTGTACGTTCTTTTGGCAAAAAAGAGAGATTTGCATACTTTCTGCTCATGAAGCTATTGAGAAATCGATTGGAAAAACTTGTGATAGAATTTAAATTCATTCACAGGACTTTCTTTAAAAGCAAAATTTAAACTCCCAATGTTGTTTGAAAATAGTAATTCTCATACACAAAACAGAGTAAGGAAGAAAATTATCATCATTTCCACCATATAAAACGATTTTAAAAGAAAACTTTAAACCCGGTTGTTGTTTGAAAGAAAATTTAAAATAAAAAAGTTAATATTTAGAAAGGACAACACAAAAGTCTCAGAATTCTTTAAAACAGAGAAAGATACTGGGAAATCTGTTTAACAAATAACTTTTAAAACAGAACGATAAGTACAAAAAAGGAGGAAACAAAAGGTTAAGATTTTTGGCAAAAAATTAGATTCCAGCAAACCTTCTGCTCATAAACCTTTTGAAAAATAGATTGAAAAGACTTGTGATAGAATCTAAAATAATTTGCATGAAAATCTTTAAAAGCAAATTTAAACTTCCAATGTTGTTTGAAACATAGTAGGTCTCATACAAAACAGAGTAAGGAAGAAAATGCCAAGATTTGCAACATTTGGAAAAAACTTTAAATCCCGTTACTTAAAAGACAGAAAACTTAAAATCAAGAAATAAATATTAAGAAAACACAAAATAAAATTTTAAGTTCTTTAAAACAGAGAGAGATATTAGGAAATCTCTTTAACAAAGAACTTCAAAACATATTACGTTTTTTTGGCAAAAATAAAGAGATACTAGCAAACTTTCTGCTCATAAACCTATTGAAAGATAGAAATAACTTTTGAGAGAATCTAAAATATTTTGCATGACGTTCTTTAAAAGAAAACTTAAGCTCCCAATGTCACGTGAAAAATAGTAGGTCTTGTGTACAAAACAGAGTAAGGCATAAAATTGCCAAAATTTGCAACATTTGGATACAACTTTGAAAGAAAACTCCAAATCCAGTTTCTCAAAGACAAAAAACTTGAAATCTAGAGGCTAATATTTAGAAAGGACTTTCAAAACAGATATTAACTCAAAGTCTCACAATCCTTTATAACAGATAGAGTAATTAGGAAATCTATTTAACAAAGAACTTTTATCACAAAGAGAAAAGTATACCAAAGGAGAAAAAAAAGTTTGGAGTTATTTGGTAAGAGGTATACTAGCAAACTTTCTGCTCATAAACCCATTGAAATATAGATTGGAAGAACTTGTGATGCAATCTAAAATATTTTGCATGACGTTCCTTAATAGCAAATTTGAATTCCCAATCTTGTTTGAAAGATAGTAGGTCTAGTACAAAACAGAGTAAAGAGGAAAAACACCAAGATTTGCAACTTTTGGAAACTTCTTTGAAAAAAAATATTTAAATCCAGTTACTTGAAAATCAAGAAGTTAATACTTAAGCTGGACAAAACAAATCCAACTAAAAAAAAAAAAGAAACTGGACAAAACAAAAGTCTCACGATTCTTTCAAACTGAGAGTTATAAAGAAATCACTTTAACAAATAACTTTTAATACACAGATATAAGTATGCATAAGGAGAGGACAAAAGTTCAAGTTTTTTGGAAAAATGAGATACTTGCAAACAATTTATGCATAAAGCTATTGAGAAATAGATCGGAAATACTTATGATAGAATCTACAATAATTTGCAAGATGTCCTTTAAAAGTAAATTTAAATGCCCAATGTTATTTAAGAAATAGTAGGTCTTGTAAAAAACAGAGTATGGAAGAAAAAAAAGCCAATATTTGCAATTTGAAAAAAAAACTTTAAATAGTGTTACTTGAAGACAGGAAAACATAAAATCAAAAAGCTAATATTTAGTAAAAACAAAATACAAGTCTCACCATTCTTTCAAACATAGAGAGAGTAGGAAATCTCTTTAACAAAGAACTTTTAAAAATACAAAAGGATAAAACAAAAGTTTACATTGTTTTGGCACAAGAAGAGATATTTGCATACTTACTACTCATAAAGCTATTGAGAAATCGATTGGATAAACTTGTGATAGAATCTATAATAATTTACATGACATTCTTTAAAAGCAAATTAAAATTTCCAATGTTGTTTGAAAATAGTATGTCGTACACAAAACCATGTAAGGAAGAAAATGGCCATCATTTCCAACATTTAGAGACGATTTTGAAAGAAAACTTTAAATCTGGTTGCTTTTTGATAGAAAACTTAAGATTAAGAAATTAATATTTAGAAAGGACAAAAAACCATCGTCTCCCAATTCTTTCAAACACAGATATTAGGAAATCAATTTAACACAGAACTTTTAAACAGAGAGATAAATATACATAAGCAAAAACAAAAGATTTTGGAAAAAAAGATATACTTGCAAACCTTCTGCTCATAAAACTATTGAGAAATATTTTGTAAAAACTTGTGGTAGATTGTAAAATAATATGCATGAAGATCTTTAAAAGATTGTTTGAAAAATAGTAGGTCTTGCACAAAATGGAGTAAGTAATAAGATTGCCATTAATTCCAACATTCAAAAACAATTTTATAAGGAAACAAAAATAGTAGGTCTTTCAAATAAAGATAGATATTAGGAAATCACTTTAACGAATAACTTTTAAAACAAAGAGATGATAAGTGTACATGAGGAGAAAACAAAAGTTTAAGTTTTTGGGAAAAAAACCGCAAATAGCAAACCTTCTGCTTGTGAATTGAAAAATAGATTGGAAAATCTTTTGATAGAATCTAAAATAATTTGCAAGACCTTCTTTAAAAGCAAATTTGATTCCGATTGTTGTATGAAAACAATAAGTCTTGTAGAAATCAGAGTAAGGAAGAAAATTGCCATAATTTGCAACATTTAAATTGACTTTGACGAGAAACTTTAAATCCGGTTACTCTTGACGAAAAACTTTAGTTAATATTTAGAAAGGACAAAACAAAAGTAACTCGACTCTGTAAAACAGAGAATGCATAAAAAAAAATAGGTCGAAAAGCTCAAGTTTAAAGACATGCTTCAGAATTCAAAAGTATAGTAATATTAGAGCAAGTGCACTCACGACACAATAGACCCCTTCCTTCTTGAACCGTGAAACCTGCGCACGCATCACCGGAGAATTGATTAAGGATAAACGCAATGCCTCCTGTGACACAGAATACATGATATGAGACAAAACCCAAAAACCAACTTATAGTGACCTTCACATTAAGCAATTTTCAATCTTATAGAAAGAATTCAGAGAAAGAAAACTTACGGCCCCATAATCATTTATAACATTCAAGGGAGAAGGATAGTTTTTTAAGCTCTTGCTCATCTTTTTCCCATCCTCAGCAAGAACTAGTCCATTGCAGATGAGATTCCTAAATGCCGGTTTTCCAAATAATGCAGTAGCCAACACCATAAGTGTGTAAAACCTGACAAATAGAGCCATAACGTTTAGCTTGAGCACCAAAGTCTATATCCAACAAAACCATGTAGTAGAAAAAATTGCAAAGAAACCCCTCAATCTGAAAATTATTCTGACAAATCCATCCAGATCTATCTGATAGATTACAATGTCCAGATTATGCCTTCAAGTCGGTTTTCCCGGTTCAGTTCTTCAAATCACCACATTTTAACAGCTCCTAAAGGGAGCGTAAAGCGTAAAGTAATCTTTCCAAACAAATAAGGTACAATTTTGCCACAATCTATGCAACCAAAAATTCAAGAGTCTCTTGTCAGAAAATGCATATGCAGTAAGACTAAGAACCTAACCATCCACGAGTTTGATCCAATCCTTCAGCCACAAAATGCCCAGGAAAATTCTTTTTTCTGGAAAAAAAAAGGGATTTGTTGAAAAATCACTGCTCAAAAAGCCAGTGACAAACCGGTATAACAAATTTGTATGGATAATCCATCATAAGTACGCATGCTCTTTAAATAAAATTCGAACTCCCAAAGAAGATTTGAGAAATAATAGGTCTGGTACAGAGTAAGGACTATAAATCCCACAAGTTGCAACGTTCGGAAAAAAGTTCGACGGTTTTACTCTTTGACAGAACAACATGTGGGAAATATAACGAAACCTCACTGCTCATTACGACATTCACAACAGGGTTCGAGAAATTCGCTGGACATAACTAAAGTTTCACACAAGCCAGAGAGAAAAAGTCGAAGAAACTCACGAATTTGCGGGACATAACATAGCAAGTCTTGGATAAATCAGTGTGAAGATTTGAAGCTATTAGGACAAGATCCGCCCCCAAACGACAGCATAAGCATCACCCAACAACAACACATTTACACAAACCAGAGAGAAAAAGTTGACGAAACTCACGAATCCGCCGCCCGGGCGTCGTTGCTCAGCCTCGCCTTCGCAGCCACCAAGCGCGACCCAGTCGCCGAGCCCCCGATCATCCTAGTCCCCATTCCTCTCTCTCTCTCTGGCCCCGAGACAGGGGCGTCCCATCACCGATGATCGGAGCCAGATGCGGCTCCGCCCTCTCTCCGCTTGAGCCGAATGTGGCTCCGTCGAGAGAGGAAAACCCAGACGAAGAAGAAGAAGAAGAGGCGGGGAGAGCGATGATGTGACCGTTTGGTATAAAGCCTCGCCTTGCTTGATTTTCCAAATTTACCCCTCACCAAATAGGAAAGTGCGCTACGCGTTTGAGGTTAAAAAGGTAAATTCCCAACGGGGCTTCCCCCGCAATAATCAGTGTGGGCGGATTTGAATGATTTTATTTGATTTATTTTTGTTTTGGTCGAAATAATTTTATTTTTGATTTGATTTGTAAGCGTTCTTACGGTATTACGCGAGCGCTAATCCTTGACGTACTTAATTATAATTACTCTTAATAAATAGCTAGTAAAGTCTCGTCGTAGTAATATAAATTATAGTATCATAGATACAAACTGATGTTTTTAAATTGTATTTTGTGTATGTAAAATTAGTTTCGACGTCATTAAATTATCTTTACTTTGGTAAATATTTGTAAGTGCGCTAATTATCTCTAAACAAATTGCCCTAAACAAAAACAAACTACAGACAAATGTCTATAACCACTATCTTTGAAACAAAAAAAAATGTCTATAGATCAACATGCCAATTTGCAGATTAATTTTGAGAAACCCTTCACTTTATTATCCTGCAGATACGAGTGAAATTATTATGTAATAAAATACGAGAGCATGTCTAGATTACTTTTTACTATTTTACTTTTTTGCTCACTAAATGTACTGTGACTCACCTGAAACAGCTCGCAGATATTCAAACGAAAGTTTCCATGTAAATTTTTTCAAAATATTTCAAACAGTTCAAAAAATAAATTAAATTTTGAGGGGAAAGCAAAAGGTACTTCATATATTACAATCAAGTGTATACAAACAAGCTTTTCTCTAATAATGTGCTAGACATGACTATTGGACCGTCATAGTATCGTGACCGATGGTTTGCTACCAAGGTCACAACAAAGCTCTTAGGACGGTTTGAGGAAATATGAGAATTCTGTCTTTCGATTGTACACGTGTAAAGAGAGCGAGACGTTGTGGTTCAAAGAAAATCCAACATGACTATTAAAGAGGTAGTTATAGCATAAATAATGCAACGTCACGAAGGATGGAAAATTTGACTCTGATACAATATTGGAAGTCTCATAAAAACACATAAACTAAATATTAAGCGCACTGAGACTATATATTTTAGATCCATATAAATCCCGTATTTAAATGATGTGTTACACGGAGTCTGCCGGTTTTTATGATGACTTAGTGGAGATTTTTCCTAATTCTGGAAGGATGTGGGGAAGAAATGGAGAAGAATACAGAAGAGACAAAATCGAACCTGCAGGAATTCGATCCTTTGATATACAGTTAATTTTGTACAAGAGATGGGTGACCTTTTTCCATTCGAAAACCTAAAAGCAGCCCCAATAAATTAGAAACGAGCTTAAGTCTGGGGCAAAGGGTCTACAATGTAGAATCAAAGTGAATTGATTCAACTCTAGTACAAATACAACAACAACCACCTTTTTAAATTGCCGGAGTATATCTACTTTAAACAGACGACCATACATGAGTAGATGAATGGACTTAAACAATACCAAATAAAAAAAGGTTTGGAAAATTGTCAAATCAGTCCTAAACCTATTGTACGGCGGTTAATTCAGTCTTAAACCTTTTAAATTTTTTCCAATTGAGTCTTTCCGATCAATTTTGGCCGATCGGCGCTGACGTGGCAGCCGACCGGCGTTGGACGTCCGGTCAACGCTGACGTGGCAATTTTTAATTATTTTTTTCAATTTTTTAATCTTTTTTTTTCTGCTATCTCCCCTCTGGCCAGTTCGGCAACCGGCGGCCGCCCAGAGGGGAGGGCCGGCGAGGCCTCTGGCGAAGCTCGCCCCGCCGGCCACCGGCGAGGCCGAGCCTCGTCGGCCCCTGGCTGGGTGAGACGAGGTCGGCCTCGCCTCGCCGTTGCGACCCCTCGCCTTGCCGTCGCCTGGGTCGCGACGGCGAGACGAGGTTGAGCCTCGCCGTCACTTAGGTCGCGGCTGCGAGGCGAGGCCGACCTCGCCTCGCCCAGCCAGGGGCCGGCGAGGCTCGGCCTCGCCGGTGGCCAGCGGGGCAAGCTTCGCCAGAGGCCTCGCTAGCCCTCTTCTCTGGCCGGCCGCCGGTCGCCGGACCGGCTAGAGGGGAGAAAGCAGAAAAAAAAGAAGAAAAAGAAAAAAAAAAAAAGATAAAAAAATTGAAAAAAAAAATTAAAAATTGCCACGTCAGCGCCGGCCGGCCAAAATTGACCGGAAGGACTGAATTGGCAAGAATTTAAAAGGTTTAGGACTGAATTGGCAAACTTAAAAGGTTTAGGACTGAATTGGCCGCCGTACAATAGATTTAGGACTGATTTGACAATTTTCCCAAAAAAGGTTCATCGGGCGCACACCCAAATTCGATTATGTACTGTGGTTCCTTGCAAAGTGGATAGATCTTGAATTGGATTTATGCTAGTTCTTCAAATTCAGTAAAATCAAAAGGGCTAGCTAAACGCTCTTAATAAACTTAGCAAGTTCCGAGGAGTTGAATATACGCACCACTTGGATATAATTCAACTCATGCCCTCCCCATGGTTAGTGATACGATCTAGTCCCACTTCCTTCTCTCAAAAGCTTGTATTGCACGTTGGAAAGTTTTTTCTAAAAATGGTATATTTTCTGTGAAACAAACGGATTCCAAAATTGTACATTCAAAACTACATGATAAGGGGATCATTAGAGATGATCATGAAAATTAAGTTTGTGGTTTTATCTGTCACAACGAGGGCACGACTAGTGTACTTTTTATTCATCTTATGTAAAGGTTTATGTTTGTTGATGCTGCTAGCCCAGGGAAGAACTTCATGTAATTCCTCCGCACTTTTAGCTTATTATACGGGTCTTGCTATGGTGCCGGGACACACAAAGCGTGGCAAAGTTGCGGTGCGAGCTAAAAACTGTCAGATCAAGCCAGTGTCCCGATGCAAAGCACGGTAAAGTTGTCACGCAAAGCTATCAGCTGTCGGATCAAGGAGATTGATTGTCGATCGTCGGATCAAGAGATGCTCTACATCGTCGGATCAAGGCGGTGCCGTGATGCACAGCATGACAAAGTCGTCCATACCGGTGACATTTCTTACATTCTTTCTTGTCCAAAGTCTCTGATTCTTATGATTCTTGTGAAGTCTGAATCTTGAAAAATATAGCAGGTGATACAGAGAAGTCTATACGCAGATTGCCGGAGTTTATCCTAGGCAGTCAGTGAAGAAATTGCTTCACATTTATTCTCCAAATTACATGTTCTCTCAGTACAAACTGCAAGTTAATGACATGCCCCCAAGGGCTTGTTGGTGCACATTCTTCCATCTAATCTCTCCTTTTGACTAAAGACGATGAAAGGCTTTCGAGTCAACCTCGACTACTTTAAAGTTTAAACTCAACCACCAACTAAATTTCTCCTCACAGGCCACGGGCAACTGGATTATTGAGTAAAACATTTTCCTTCACAGCTTATAAGTCCCCAGTTGCTCCATCCATTGAAAAAATGTCTCATGTTTTAATTCTTTGTTTCTTGCTCTTTCACCTCCTAATTCCTTCTCTAGCTCAAACGGACGGCGACATAACCGTCGGATCTTCTCTGACCGCGGAAAAGGACAACACTTCATGGATTTCGCCTTCGGGGGACTTTGCATTCGGCTTTCATCAATTACCTGCCAACCCCAACAACGATGGCGAGGTCTTCTTGCTCTCCGTTTGGTATGACAGGATACCTTCAAGAACAATCGTCTGGTTCGCAAGCGGAGATCGTCCTGCACCTGAAAATTCGAAGCTAGAGCTCTCTTCCAACCTTGGCCTGGTTCTCACTGATCCGCGAGGAGAAAGGTTGTGGATATCGGAGAACATTGTTGGTATAGTCTCGCATGCTACTATGAACGACATGGGCAATTTTTTGATTCTCGGTTCGAATTTGGAGAAACTATGGGAAAGCTTCGAAGATCCTCACGACACATTGCTTCCTTCACAAACGCTGGGAAAAAAAAAGTTCCTTTCCTCTCGTCAATCAGAGGGAAACTTTTCCAGAGGAAAATTCCAGCTTCGGATGCTGGACAGCGGAGACCTCATACTCAACACCATATACCAGCCTTCCAGTTATGCAAACGAACCTTATTACAGCACTGGAACTGCCCGAGATTCCAAGATGTCGAGCCCCGGGAAAGAAAACATGTTCGACGACTCGGTTCTCCATTTGTACTGAGAGAAAATGGCGATAAAGTTTACCTCTGGCAGGTGAAAATACCTTCGGCATCAGAGTTTTACCACAGAATTACGCTGAACTTTGATGGGGTTGACTCAATACGTACACCCCAAGAATTCTAATTCTAATTCTAATGGAACCTGAAGCTCTCTGTGGTCTTGTCACGCCGCGCTTCTTTTTGGGGCTTTCGGGATTTGCGCGCTAAGGGGGTATTTCCATGTAAGGGTCTCTCCCAGACCACACCTTACGTGACAGTGGAGGGTAATTTCCTATTTAATCTAGGTTTGTGATTTTGGAGTCGCTACTAGTCATTATTGGTAGGTAGACTAGAAATCTTACGGGAGAAATACCACGATTCTACAAACCAGAGATTCTGAGTACGGGGACTTAGTTAAGCTATTGATCCCGAATCGAGATCCCTAACGCCCTTTCGGTACCTAAGAACGATACAATGTCTATCATGTCATGCAAATTTCCAAGGTTTATCCACTAATTCTATCCATTCTAATCGCTGGAAGAAACAATCAAGCATTAAATGTACAATCGATGTCAATCAGATCAATCAATCCTAAATGGTCTCTAAAAATGAAAATCAATCAAAACATTCAAACCATAATGAAGCTCTAGAAGGTTATTCATTTCATGATTTACATTTTTTAGGGTTTTAGGGTTTTTTAGGGGTTAAAACCCATGAATTTGAAATTCTCAAAAAATGCCACTTGGGCACTCCCAAAAAGTCAAATCTCACTTATTATAGTTGGCCACGGTGTTTTTGGACTATACTGGGAATTTTTTAAATTTTTTAAATTTTTTTCGAAAATTTTATTAACCGAGAATTGATTTTTTATGATTTTCTGAAAAAATTTTATGAATTTTTCAAATTTTTATTGATTTTTAAAATTTTTCATATTTTTTATTTGTATTTTCTGAATTTTCTGAATTTTTATGAATTTTCTGAAAATTTTTGAATTTCTAAATTTTTTTATTTTTTGGAATTTTTTGGAATTTTTATGTTTTTTAAGATTTTTTAAAGATTTTTTTTATTATTTATTTTTTTTAAAGTTACCGCCAAGGAAACGAACCGGACCGGCCCGGTTCAACCCGGTCCGGCCTGACCGAACCGGGCTTCGCCGACGCCGGTTGCTTTCCCCGACAAGCACAACATCGAAACGGTGCCGTTTTTCCCTCTTCTTCATTGTGGCATTTTATCAAACATGTGGTGGGCATGAATCCTAGTTCTACGTTCTCAAGGTCACTGGTTCGGGTCCATCGCCAATGACCTTCCGGCAACTATTTCACCATTCCAATTGCACCATTGTGATGTTCCTATGTTCTATTTTCAGTCCGATCCATTTAGCACGTCGTCAGACCTCTATTGGCCAGCGAGATTCAAGTCCGAAGAACCTAAACCATTTCTAGCTAAAACTTGAATTTCCAGAACTTGAACCATTACCATACTCGCCCTAGCCGTCTAACTCGGTTTCAATCAAGGACAAAAAAATCAAACAAGGTCAAGAAATGTAACTTGAGTGGCTTAATGCCACGGGGAGTTCTCCGGCGAAGTTTTCTGAGCTCCGGCGAAGGTTTTTAATGGTGGATTGACTCAGTTTTGTTGGTTTAACAGCACAAAATGCAATCAAACAATACAAAACATGATTAGAAACAAGTTTTGAACATTTAGAAGTACAAAATCACGATCAGAATGACATGAACAGCAAAATTGAATCAAATGGTGTTTTCTTAAATTTCTGGAAAAACTGTGACTGTGAGTAATGTTTATCTTCTTCGTTCGATGTTCAGAAGAAATTGTCGAATTGATCCGCGCCTATGGAGTTGTTCCTTGACACTTGCACTTCCGCCTGGTGGTCTTGGCCTTGCCGGAAGAGCTCGAGATTGACCGGAAAAGGCTTGGTTTCAGGCCTTCGGGACCGGCCGATTTGACTGGAACAGTAAAGGGGAGGTTTCGGCCAAACTCCGATTTGTCGGTGCTCCGCCGTCTAGGGCGACGCCGGACACTTGGGTGGGAACCTCAAACCCTCTCTCTCTCTAACTTTTCCTCTTTGGTTTCGCCTATTTCTCTCTCCTCTCTCTCTCTCTGGATTTTCGTCGAATGCCCTCCTCGCAATGTTCAGTTTTTTCTTGGTTTTTGTTGATAAAAAATCCCCGCCGAAAATCGATTTTCGATCGGTTAAATCGGTTCACTGGTGCCGGCTCGAGATTTTCCAACTGGCCCAATCGATTTTCACGTGCCAAATTAGCTGGAAATGATCGGTGAAGTTGCAGGCTTGAAATGATTTGTTCTGGGTTTAGTGTGGCTCGGGTGAGTCGAGTAAGGAAGACAACCAACCCGGGTCGGGTCGGGTCGACATGGCCGACCTGGCAGCCCCGGGTTGGTCTAAATTCACCAATTAAGCTCAATTTTGACCCCATTTTCAAAATTAAACCCCAAAATTGAATTTCCCATCACATTCTGAACCTAAATATATAATTTTCCCCAATTTTTGTCATGATTTGTCCAAGATTTTCTCATTTTTGTATTCGGGTTAATAGGTTTTTATTCAATTTAATGTCCTAATGACCTGATTAGGCAAAATTGATGCCAAAATTGAATTACCCACATCTAATTAACCCTAGGAATAATAGCCTCATGGTTCGACAATTTCATATTGGGCACGATTCCCAATTTGGGTTCAAAATTCTTATTTTTCAATTAAATTTTGGGGATTTTTTATTTTTATGTCAAATTTTGCAATTGGACCAACCATTATGTAATTCAAGGTCCCAGAATCAATTGTTGTGAAGACACTATGACTTAAAAATGACTAGAAAAAATTTAATTGCATTTTTTGTTCAATTCGGGTTTAATTTTGCCCAATTTTGGGAAAAACATATACCCAATTGAGATTTTTCAAAATTGATGATGTATTCATGAAATTGGATTTAAACTAAGACTAATGACTATTTTTATGGAATTTTTTTATTCTAATTGCTATTTTTCTTGATTTTCTTGTTTATTTTGACTAAAAGAAATTAAGAAAAAGTGCAGAAAAATGCTAAAAAATTATTTTTTGTTTAGAAATAGGTTTCTAGGCTTGGCCAAGATTCCTAGTCCTAATTTTGAGATTTTCGAAAATATGAAAAAAATGAGCTAAAAATCAGGTGTCAACAGGTCTATACCTGAAAATATATACACTGCCGTTCTTGATTCAAGTGGCTCTGGTGTTTGTGGCTACAACAGTATATGTTCCCGGGGTGACAATAAAAGGCCAAAATGTGGCTACCCTGACAAATACACTTTGCTTGACCCCAATGATGAGTATGGCAGTTGCAGACCTAACTTCACACTAAATTGTGAGGAAGATGAGAAGAAGCTGAAGCAAGGTTCCATGGAGGATCTGTACACTTTCGTGGATCCAAGTGGCCACGGACAACTCGTTATAGAGTTGGATGAGCCCAATTGTGGCACTCATAGATCTTGACATCGGGAGAAATCCGACCTCAACTATGTCAAAATCAACTTAGATGCAAATTTAAGGAAGATAAAGCGCGTTTTGCTTCTGTCACAAGAGAAGTGTGTTAGACCACGAAAATGGCACACCTAAGATCACCATGAACAGAAACTGAAACACGTAAATGGAAAAATTATCGATTCGCGTACCTGATTTGGAATCCATCGAACTTGACGCGGAATTGGTGACGGTTTCCGAACACGAACTCAAGTGCATCTCGCCTATACCCTTCGTTGAACACTGGTCTAATGAGATTGCCACTCACGAGAAGAAATTCCTCTTTAGATCCGTATGTGAGTCAGATTGTGCATCATCAGGTTAGGAGAGAGACTTGAGTGCTATTTATAGAGTCTTCAACCACGGACCCTTTCATTACGGGTCGGGCCGTACTCGGCCCACACTAGCCAGTCCCATATTAGACTTATTAAGAACCCACATATCTAATCTTTATTATACCAAACTAATTCAATTAATTTCAATTAATGAAGCCCACATTAGGAAATTCTTACATTCTCCCACTTGGGTGATATTAATTGAAACAGAACTATGTGTACACCCTTATGTTGGTCTAGAAATTATTCTTAATAGTCAATCCGATTCCATAAAGTCTCGAACACCGAATCATGGCGGTAACTGCATGTACTCACGCAGAGCCTTCCATGGTCACGAGTACTTTCAACTTTACTGATACGTATTTAATATGGTAGTGTGGTAAATGAACAATACCTCATAATAAGTGATACTTCACGTGTTGTCCATTTTGTCAGTTCAAATTCTCTCTCCTAAAGTGTCACAAAATCTAGTGTGTCATCAGAGAATATCCTTCATGGTTCCAATGAACCTACATATGTCTTACCCTTATAGTTAACTATTTCTTATGTGTAACAAGACATATCAACAAGGCTAATACCAAGAATGCCCCTAGCCTGTACTTAAGGTTTACACAATGCTTCGATATTTTCATCAAATATATATGTACTCAACGTGATAAAATTACATTCACAAATACCTCATTGAATGCAAAAAGTTGATACATATCCAAATGTTACAAAATGTAACAAAATCATATACAAATTTCATAAGAGCAACACAAAACTAAACAGCTTCCACTAATTAACAATATCCCATGATACTCCTAAGCCAATGTTAATGACATGTTGATCAAATACACAAGGGCAAAGGCCTTTAGTTAGTGGATCTGTAATCATATCATCTGTCAAAATGTGCTCTACTGCAATGTTGCCATTTTGAACTGTTTCCTTTATGATCAGGAACTTGACTTCCATATGCTTAGACCCCTTGAGACCTTTGTTATTGTTGACAAATAATACTGCAGCTTTGTTGTCACAATACAACTGTATGGGCCTATCCACAAAATCAAATACAGTCAATTCTCTAATGAGGTTCCGGAGCCAAATAGCATGAGTAGAGGCCGAAAAGCATGCTACGAACTCCGCTTGCATGGTAGAGGAT